GAAAAGACTCGGAAAATAATCGTGGGGCGAGACCTGCGTTTGTTTGCAACCACAGACATCTCCCCACTGCTGCTCTAGAGGGCGCTGATATGTACCACATGTTTTTTTCCAATGCCGCCGCTGGCGCCCACCTCGAGCGCTGCTTGTCGATCGCCGGGACTCTGCACGAAATGCTTCATCATAATCCGGGCGAGAATTGTGTGTGGCAACTCCGTTACACCGCCCCAAACAACTCACGTTTGGTCTCGCGTTACATAGCGGACTATGATAGAGAGGAAGATCATTTATTTGTGGGTGGAGATGAGGAGGAGTACTATCGGCCCTCTGGGCCTTCGAGCCTTGGGGGAGCGCACCGCTGGGAAAGAGCGACGGAAAACGGCGAGCAACACCACAGCAGTACTTGTAGCGATGCTTTTTTTTGTTCGTCCGACAGCAGGAGCCGGCGCCCTCATCCCGAAACGTGACCACCTTCCCCCCCCCCCCGAACCCCCAACCTTAGCAATATAGAGTCAAGCTGGAGCAATCGCGAAAGATACGCGCATGTATGCATGCGTTCGAACGTTCGAACAAGGTCGGAACATTTCGATCTTTTTTTTTCTATTTGTCTGATTATGGAGGCGTTTTGCATGCCCGGGGACAATAGGAAAATTCAAGTGACAATTCCCCGGCTTGGCTGCGTGCGTTTTGGGGGCGCTTGCGTGCACCCCCAGCTTTCAGTCCGCTGTCTACTACCTCTATCCTCTTTTCTAAACCTTCCGATATCGTAAAAATGGCCCCCGTACTCAACGCCGCTGCCACCCTGGCCCTCGCCGGGTCGTGCTCCGCCTTCGTGGCGCCGAGCGCGTTCAAGGGCGCCGCCGTGACCTCCAAGGCCTCGGCATCCTCCACCAAGCTGTCGATGGCGGTCGACACCGGAATCAACGGCTTTGGCCGCATCGGCCGCCTCGTGGCGCGCTCCATGGTGAAGAACCCGGAGACCAACCTCAAGCTGATCAACACCGGCGCTGCCCCGGAGTACATGGCGTACCAGGTACGCGCGAGCATGCGTTTCGTTGCATGTGTGATGTTTTCACCCGCTCCTTACCCATGTCTTTCTATGAGGCGAGGGACGCATGTACCACGCATGTGTGTGCAGAGTTGTAGGGAAGCATGTCGGAACCAGGGACGCATTTCGGCAGCGCGCGGCAGATCTTAAGACCTCTGTCCCTGGCTGCCCTGTGATAAGCCTTGGGCGAACGCACGTCAGGCTCGCTCGCTGTATGAACTGATGGATTCTTGATCCGAGTTGAACCGAGATCGGGTTTCGTGAACATCAAGGAATAAAGAGACAAAGACAGCCGCTTGCTTCATGCTGGCTCTGACGGGGGAAATGCTTGCTTGACCCGTTGAACTAGTCTTGTACGGAATGCGTGCTGCGCTATGAGCGCATGGCGATATCCTCTCCTCGTCGTGTTATCGTCACATCGCCCTCTGCTTGGAACTGCGTTGCTTCATCTCGTGTAGGTCGCCACGCACGCGCTTGTTTTTAGCGGGTGACACCTGCTGTGTTGGTGCCAATTATTTGCATGTTTTTGGACATGCGCACTACCGCTGACGTACGGGTTGTGTGGGACAGCCGGTGCGCAGCTCTAGGCCACCGGGCGCTGAGTGCCCTGTGTTGTATGCCGTTCAATGGCGTACAGGCTCATCGAGACCGGTGTTGTGAGATGCGCATGTTTCGTGCTTCAACCAAAGAAAAATGGCGCGTGTGCCCTACCCGCCTACGTGTGTGACAGGACACGTCATCCTAAAAAATGTAGTTTTTCTTTTTCTTTTATCTTGCGTACGTGTTTCGTCGGAATGCCTTGAAAAGAATTCACATCAAGAACGCCGCGTATTCCCGTGACACCTTGTTACGGAGACTCGTCGCCAAGTCTATTGATCTTCATCGCATCGCGTTAGTAGTAAATTATCAATGGCGACCCGATTTGAGGCCTTTGTTCTCACATGGAACACATAATCGAGCCGTATGTGTGTGAACGCCAGCTTGTCGGGAAGCTTCGCATGTCAGCGGCCGTCGCATTATTGTTTTGTGATGCCCCGAGTCTAGTTGGGCGTGCTTGGGCGGCCTGATTATCGAAATACTTCAACAAACCTGCCCCCCCCTGAGCGTTATGTCCTCCTGCTGCCCGCTAGACCATCTTGTCTCGCGGTTCGCACACCCACTCCCTTGGCATGCCTGCCGTCCAATGCCCTTCATGTACGTACAATTCCCGTTGGCGGGTTTGCTCCAATTCCTCACTCGACCCTCCACCCCACCCACCCCCACCCCCACCGCCGCCGTTGGTGATGCAGTTCAAGTACGACACCGTGCACGGAAAGTACGACGGCACCGTGGAGGTTGACGGCATGGACCTCATCCTCGACGGCCAGCGCGTGCCCACCTCGCACACCCGCAACCCGGAGGAGATCCCCTTCACCTCCACCGGCGCGGAGTACGTCTGCGAGTCCACTGGCGCCTTCCTCACCGAGGAGAAGGTGCAGCCCCACCTCAAGGCCGGCGCCAAGAAGATCGTCTTCTCCGCGCCCGCCAAGGACGACTCGCACACCATCGTGATGGGCGTGAACGCCGAGACGTACGACCCCAGCATGGACCTCGTGTCGTGCGCGTCGTGCACCACCAACGGGCTCGCCCCCACCGTCAAGGTGATCAACGACAACTTCGGCATCAAGGAGGCCCTCATGACCACCGTGCACGCCATGACCGCCACCCAGATGGTCGTGGACGGCACCTCCAAGAAGGACTGGCGCGGGGGCCGCACCGCGTCGGCCAACATCATCCCCTCGTCGACCGGAGCCGCCAAGGCCGTGACCAAGGTAAGACCTGACTGGGCCGTGTGTAACTGTGTCCATGTCGTTTGTTCTCACTCCCGACGGCAATACGCAGTACGCCAGTGTTAACGGATAGTTGTTGAAAATGTTTTTTTTTTTTTCACTTCAAATCAGCGCTCACAGCACTACAGTGCCGTTTATTCCAACCCGTGGTCACACAGAAGAGCCTCTCTCTACCCTCCCCTCCTGCGGTGCTTCGCCTTCAAGTTTTAATGCGAGAAGAGTTCAGCACTCTCTTCCCTCTGTGTACACACGAACTAGCGCTATCCACTTGGCCAGGAGCGGAAACGCGGAAAACGAGAGAAAAACTCACTTTGCAAGAAAAGCTCGCCTACGCCGGGATTCGAACCCCTGACCTGACCTCTAGAAGGTTACGAAGCTACCAACTAGACCACCGGGGCGACCGGCGATTTGGGACACGGCGAAATCGGCGTTGCCTGTTGACATGTAGATTACCCTATGGAGATGACGGTTACGTCTCGTTTGTGTGGCGAAAAACCGTGGAAGGTTGATGACTCCATGTGCACGTAGTTTTCAGTGGTACGAGTGCGTGGTTTGCTGAAAACGTGTGTGACAGGTACCCTTTTACCCATGTGCCTGGCCATCGAGCGTACGATGACCGGAGACGCTTGTCCCGTCCCGTGCGAACAGCATGGATGCAAACTTGTTTTTTAGGGTGGGTGTATTTTTCCTCGAGTGAGCGATGTGGAGGTTGAGATACGAGGATGCCGCATCTCAAGGGCTTGCAGTTGAATGACGTATGCCGCCTACATTGTACAGCAGTACGCATTTCACAACGTCTTGTGCAGCAGCAGAATCTGGAGCTATTCATCGTCGCTTTTTTTTGCCCCATGCCCTGCATCCTCACTACTAATACTTGACTCCTGACCCCCCCCCCCCCTCTATCCTCCGTTGCCGTACCCCCGAAAAAATACAGGTGATCCCGTCGCTCCAGGGCAAGCTCACCGGCATGGCCTTCCGCGTGCCCACCCCCAACGTCTCCGTCGTTGACCTGACCTGCACCCTCGACAAGGCCACCTCGTACGAGGAGATCTGCGCCGCCATCAAGGAGGCGTCCGAATCCGGCCCGATGAAGGGCGTCATCGGCTACACCGAGGAGCCGCTCGTGTCGACCGACTTCATCTCCGACTCGCGCTCGTCGATCTTCGACGCGGGAGCAGGAATCATGCTCAACCCCAACTTCGTGAAGTGCGTGGCGTGGTACGACAACGAGTGGGGCTACTCCCAGAGGGTGATGGACCTCATGGTCCACATGGCGACGGTCGACGCCAAGGCCGGCGTCAAGGCTTAAGTCGATTTCCGAAACTTTCACTAGCTCTTTCGTGTTTTATAGTTTTGGGGGTCACAGCAGTCTTGTGGTGTGTGGGAGGCAAGAGAGCGCGATGGTTGCTGCGAAGTCGTGTTTGTTTGAAAGTCGCGCACGGCAGGTTTCAACTAGAATTGTTTCTTGGCGTTGGTGAACCAGCACCATCACGAACCCAAGTCGAAATGGTCAGCCAAAGCCTTTCGCAACGCGTGGGGGCATTTCCTTGACCGCGAAGGAGCAGCATACGGTTTTATAGGTTTTATAGAAACGAGTCAATGCCGGCACGGCATTCTTGGTTTCGATTTTGGCTTGCGTCTCTGCGTGTTTTCTGCTTGGTTGGTTGATAACCCTTCGGTGCCAGGGAGGGTGCTCGTCCGTTACTCTGGTTTTGTGTGGTTGTCGGCACATGCCACGATGTCTTGGAATTTTGAGTTGTTGAGAAATGAGCAGTGCCCTGTGGGCGCGCGCTGGCTACGCCTCGCGTTGATTCCTACCTGCACACAACTGATGTCGGTCATAGAGAAGACAGTATCATCAAATAGAGATAAATCGAGGATATTGGACACACACAACACCAGCCTTTCCAGGAATTTTTCACGGGCCCGCAGTGTACAAGTCGGACCCGTTCACTGCCCTGTAGTATGCATACGTGCGAGAGCGTAACCCAGGCCTACCCACTGCACACCGGCCAAGCTCCTTGGTGTGTGGAATAGGGTTTATTATTTGGCCTAGCGCCGTGTTGTAAGACTTTCGAAACCTGCTATGCGTATAGAGAAATAGAGTCGTTTTGTGACGGTCTCCCTACCTCCGAAAAACTGCTGTTCAATTGGTGACCACAACGAAGTCGCTCAGACCCGGTGTACACGCGCCAGTGGTCTCTGGGTAAATTCTGTCACCAGGCCCCGAACGTGCATGATCATTGTCGGCGAAAAAAAACACGCACCGGCACCAATGCTCCGCTGTCGTGAAAAACAAACAGCTTCCCTCCACCTCACGAACCATCAAATAATTGCAAACGGCCTCGCGGATTGTTCGGAATGTCTCATGCGGCAGAGGCGGTGGGACTGCTCTGCTGAAAACGACTGCCAAGTCTTTCCAGGAAAATCCTACGGATCATGCATGATGACGTCACACTCGTCTCTCCCATCATCGGAGTTGTTTTGCGCTGAGATGAGCTGTGCGATTCCCGCAAAATCGCCGCAATTATTGTTAAAAGCGACAGGACACATGAGCTCACTCAAACCTTGCAACGGATGAATACCGAGTTTGTTCAAAGTGTGGTGATGGCACAACATTAACATTGGGAAACATGGGAGCAAACGAGGGAAAGTGACGCACATGACAGAGAAAAGCATGCCCCCCTGATTGTTGCACCGCTGGCTGCTGCATCAGAATATCAGAATGTTTCCGCTGCCCCGCCCGACCATGTAAAAGACAAGAAACAGACGCAGCGCCAAAGAGCGACCCGCTTGATTGACCGCGTAGAAGCGTGGAATCGTTTAGAGTCCGACTGAAGTCGAACAAAATATATTCTGCTGCTACCAGTGCTGTCTTGGGGAAGCAGTCGTTTGCTGGTAGATCAGAAGTGACACACCGGCTCACCCAAATTTCAAAATTCAGAATGCCCTGATGAGAGGTGTGTATGTATGTAAAGAGTGAGCACGAACGAGAAATTGATACTTGTCACGGGTGAGTGTGTGTCTGTCTCTGTAGTGTGCAGGAGGAAACAACGCTCGCTAGAATTGGACTGACGATTCATCAATCACAGAGAGAACGAAATTGCTGACCCCGGGTTGAGCTCGTGTTTTGGATGATGATGATGGACAAAAAGTGAGGGAACATGCCTGCACACGCACTGGGTAGAGAACCCCAAAGTAGGGGAGGATAGCCCGCGTTTCCCGAAAAGAACGCCTTCCAGGCATTTTGTTCGGTAACTCTCCTCTGTGAGTCCCATATTGGTCCATCATTTCGGGTGAGCGATAGAGGGAGAGAGCGACTACCGGTGGTGTGTGCCTTTCTTTGCTTTGGGCTCGAAGGACCCGCCGCCCACACCCACACCTCGCTCACACACGGCATGAAGTGGGCGCTCAAGTTCTCGACGAAAGGGAAAGGAGCAGGAGGCGCTGGCAAGCCTTATCAGCAAGAGCCAGGCTTGCGAAACGGAGGAGGAGGAGGAGGAGGAGGAGGTGGAGGAGCTCCAGGGGGTGGAGGCCAGCGTGGGTTCAGATCGAGCTCGGACGGAGAGGGGGGAGGGGAACGCGGGGACTACTACGACGACGGCGATCTAGAGCCGGGGCAGGAGAGGGACACGCCTAGTGTTACGCCGCCGGACGCTACAAACGACGGTGGGGGGAGGGAAGCGGGCGGAGGCGGCGGCGGCGGCGGAGGCGGCGGACCAGAACATCATTATCGCAGGCAGCGGGGGGCAGAAAAGCACGAGGGAGAGGGAGGCGAATCATCGCCCAACTACCGAGACGGGGAGGACGGTGCCGATCACGACAACAACAACAACAACGCCTCATCGGCGCCGCCTTTTACGGTAGACTCGACGGCGGGCGAGAAGGAGCGGGGAGGGGGAGAAGATATGGACTACGAGAGGCAGCAGCAGCACGGCGTGTTTGACGAGGACGGCGATAGTCAGGCAAACAGCGCTCAGGCCAGCAAGACGGCTCGCATGAGGTCTTTCGCGGATGATCCGGAGGCGCACGAATTGGAGGACGGAGACGCGGACTGGGATGGTGAGAGGGAGGTAGTCCTGGCGTGGAGTCGTGTTGTGGCCGGTATTTGTGCGCGCAGCGCGATGTCCCTCTGTTTCGCTTCCATCCATGTGTAGGCCGACAGCGCTTCCGCTGTTTGTAAACAAGTTGCTTCCTCCAAGCTGTTTTTTTCGAAGTCAAAATAAGAGAATGAGGCAAGCAGTTGTATATGCCACAGGCAGAACGGGAGAGCACGTACATACGCGTGAGTTAAGTGCGTGTGCCTTATGCGAAAATTGTTCTGGCCCGTTTGCTGGAACGAGTGTTGCGCTGATGTTACCCAAACGTGCCGGATTCCCACCCGAAGTGAATCTTGTCTGGATGTACCTGCAGAGCGCTTGCCATTCCTTCTCTCGCAACCAATTTTTTGCCTCTTTGTTCCCGGGCACAGCAAGCAACAGATGGTTCGTCTCCACGGCACACGGCCACACAAGTTTTGGTAGAATCCTTCTTCTCCTGTGCGAGTTAGTCACCGCGCCATTGCGACTGCGTGGGGTTGGCCTGTGCCCTTGCTAACACGCACAGCCGCACGCGAGGCAGAGAGCGCGAGAGGCTCAAATCTCTGCGTGATCGGCCCTACCTGGCGTACAGCAGCGTAAGAAATGCTCGTCCGCCCCCTCCGATTTTTTGCCCTATTTACTAGGTTGGCATAATTCGTTCGTCGTGTTGCATTTGCGCACCGGCAATACGAGAGCCTCTTGCGTCTGTCTGTCTGTCTGCTGTGTGCATGCGTGCTTCTCATCTATCTCCCATGCGGCGTGACATGCTTCGTCTCGCACTCTTCTCTTTGCTTGCTATTTATACCGGTATAAACCGTCCGAATATAGCAAAGTTCCAGAGGGCAGTGACATGACAAAAACAGAGGCGAGAGGCGAGAGGCGAGAGGGCCGCGAGACTCCCAGTATTATTAATAGAGAAAATGACTGGAGAAGAAAAATGTTCTCGGCTTACATGTGTACCAGTACGCAGAACGGTCACAGAACGACACTGGATGATTATCTGGTCTGCTGCCGCCGTGTTTTGTAAGAGGTTGGTGGTCGATTGGATTCCGGGTGCTTGGCATGCCCGAGGGGCGGAGGGCACAGCGCACTTGTCATCGGGAATATGCACAGCAGAATCCTCCTTCTCTCCGCGATCTGGACAGCAGTGTATTTTGAGCTTCTTTTGCCTGGAAATTCCATCTACATACATGTGCCCAGTATTAATGGGCGCCTTACCAGCTTGGCCAATCTGTCTCACTGCTGTCATTGACAGCCTCATGCCTCTACATACACGTGTGTGACAGCTCACGGGCAAGGCAGCTCCGCAGGGGGGGTTTGATCCCTTGCGCATTTCTTTCGCCAACGACTTGGGTGCACTATCAAGAGAGGAAACCTGCCCGCCTTTGTAACACAGCATTATTTTAGTTGCTTTGAATGTAATAGCAGTATTCTAGTTGGATCCCAGCACCTGCTGTTGTTACATGAATCATCTCCCGGGGAATTCGACATGAAACTACGAAAACTTACCACGGGGCTTTGTTTCCGAGGGTACTTTTTCGCCATGCGACTTGAAAAATAGAACAGTCACCATGTGCATGGTTGAAAAATGCGCACGCTCTTGTTATATAGGGAGGCGTTGTGCGAGTGTGCGATCGCGGGGTATATTCGATCATGCTTAAGAGAAAATGAGCAATGCAGCAGCAGCAGCAGCAGCAGCAGCGCCGAGCCTCCTTCTGGCGCTGTTCGATTCTCGAAGCCTGCTTCGCCCAAGGAACAAGAGTAAGAGTTACAGAGCGTCGTGCATTGCTCGTCGGTGATCATTTGATGGTGGCTTGCTGCACACGCAGAGGCTCTGCCGGTCCTTTCGTATGATACCGCGTAACAGCAGTGCCCGACGAGACTCACCATTCGCACGAAACCCGGACCCAGATATTTGAAGAAATTGAGAATGGCGGAACAATTTTTGGTCAGCAGCCGGCACCACACGATCCTAACTATTGTGGAAATGAGTTAGTGCAGCAGCAGCAGCAACAGCAGCAGCAGCAAGGGTTGTGAGTTTTGCTTGTTGTAGATAGGCCGACATTGCTGCTGTCGTATGTCGTAGACTATGCCGCATCCGATTTTCGAAACGCTTCCATTCCTCGCATGCTGTCTCATTCTTCTCGACGAGTTACGTACGTTTTCACGGAGCGAGAACACCTTTCCCATATAAATGATGACTGACCTATAGAGACTCACAAGCAGTCGTCACGGGCGTTGTTTTGTTTTGCCCACGGAAATATGCAACAGCAAATCGACGACCCCATTCTTTTTCGCGCGCATCAGTAGATCCATACCCACGAGCGTTTTTCCAACCCGCTTTAGATGGACAGGGGGACACCATTGGTAACCACGTGTAGGTGATAAGTGGTATACGGTGCGAACACGGAAGCTCTACAAATATTGTAGTGAGTAAATGTCGAGCGTGTTGATCGGTTCGGGGGGGTTTCCACGATCTTTGAAGGCGTGCGCTGTTTTCCGGCGGGCGTCGATGATTCCTGACCGCTGTGACGACTGCGACGCGTGATCTGAATGTCGTGTGGAGTTGACGACACGTGTCGCTGTTTCACTTCCACCAAGTCTGCTTTTGGGATAAATATCCGAAGGCTGCATGCAACTTGAGTCATGTGCCTCGGACACTCGAGTTCGGTGTTTTACAATTGATCCCTCCCAAACCCCAAACCCTGGCGAGTGTACTTTACTGTAGTTGCGTAGAGGCGAAAATGGGCGACGTGAGCGACATCAAAAGCAACGTTACCACGCACTTCTTCTACAACCGCACGCGCAACGCATTTGGCGGAGAAAAAATTAACGGAAACCTCAAATTCTGGCCCACTTTGGTTGATTTTCGTTTTTGACATAGTGGAGAGCCTCAATTAGATGGTCCAGTGATCTTGACAACAGTCCAGTGCAGGGCTGCCCTCTGCGAGCGTTCTTGCGCACGCATGCATACACCGCTCGGTTCTTTTTTGCTGTTGGTGTCGCCACCTTAAACAGACGATGTGCCACCGTGCATATCGGCCGGATTGCCGATCTGTCCATGACGCCACGGTCTACTTGGCCGTTGTCGCTTTTCCTTTCCTTGCCTGAGAGGGTGTTGCGCTGTCGTTGTTGACTCTTCTGTCGGTTTTCGGCGTTTTGTTTGTCCCAAAGTACCCCCTCCGGTGTGGTCGCAGCCCCGCTTTGTTCACGAATACTCGCTCACGAATACATACTCGTGCTTGACGTCTACGATCGTCGTCTTTCCTTTTTTGACCCCGCCGTTGTTGTCGCGGTGTAATGGTGCTGTGGCGATGTCGCGACCCTACTGCTGTACAGCGGGCAAGGCCGACGGTCGACGGGAGGGTAACAGTCGTTCGGGCAGCCAGGGCGATCGATCCAGCCGAAACGATGAAGAGGGAAGCCACAGCGACCACAGCGAGGATGAAGCAAACGGTACATAAGAATGCGTGTGTGTGTGTTTTTTTCCTTGCCGAAGTTGCTCTTTTGTTTTGGGGTTTCGGGTTTTGCCTTTTTTCTTTGATTCATGAGTTACGGCTGCGGGCGGGTGTTGCTTGCAAAGCGCAGTTTTTTCTGTTTTTTTTGCTCTTTTTTTTGTCGGTGATGGGTGCTAGTATGCGCTTCAGGTGTGGAGTGTCCTCTCTCTCGTGTATGACATGTCACTCACAGCGAGGTCTCGTGTGTGCCATTCACAAGAGGGTGTTATGCTGTCTTATTTTGGTGTGTGGGTGGACATTTAGTTGCTGGGGCCCCGCAGTAGGCACAAGAATCGATGGACAGCTCATCAGCAATCACGACTGCGGGTGCTACAAGAAATTGGTGTGTGCGTCGGATGACGCAAAAATCTCTCAGGTGGAGCACGCTTACATTTATTTCGTGCCATTCTTTTGGGTACCCCACCCATGCAGTCGCACGGCTCTTCTCCCAGCTTCGCCTGTCACTCTGGCGTGTGTGTGAACCCTTCGTTCTCCCGTAGCAACCCCAACTCAACGCGCATTTATTCTCGAAGCCCCTTTCCGCTTTATTTTTAATGACAAGACCATGTGGACTCACGCTCTGTCGACTCGTTTCACGCGGCTTGCGATTCCGCTCAGGCACCGAGGAGGGAGGGTATGCCTCCAACCCCAGCCGGGGGCGCACGAGCACAGACGGCGGCGGGGGCAAGGGCGCCGGCTACAACTCGTTCAGCGGCGCCAGGCAAGGCCGACCACTCGAAGACGGGGAGGAAGAAGTGGAGGAGGAGGATTTAGCCGAGGGCGGAGACGTCGAGGATGAGGAGGAAGAGGAAGAGGAAGAGGAGGAGGAGGAGGAAGACCAAGATGAAGAGGAGAGACATCATGGTGTTGGCAATGGGATGCGAGGAGGCGGGGGCGGGGGCGGGGGGGGACACGCCTACAACTCCGGCGACCGGAACTCCCGCGACCAGGCCGACCTGGAGCGCCGCGCGATGGCGCACGCGTACGCCGACGGTCTGGACGGCGGGGGCGGCGGCGGCGAGCACTACGGCTCGGGCGGAGGGGCGGACAGGAATCCGCAGCGCAACATGCCCCCGGCCCCTCCGGGGGCCGCGAACGGCATCTCGCCTGTGGACGCGCGCGCGGCGGCGTTTCTCGCGGCGCGTACCCGGCTGGCCGGCGGCGGGGTCGCTGTTCCCGAGAGGCCGGGG